GTGCAGGGTCTTCTGGCTGGGTGCTGGCAGGCTTGCACCTGGCACGGGCACCATAGCCAGCCCGTGCCCCTTTAAAGGGTCCAGGGCCAGGAGGGGGGCAGTAGAGTTTCCCTGGTGTTGGCCAGAGTGGCCACCAGGAAAACCTGGGGAGGGCTAGCCTCCCACTAGTTCGAATTAAGAGGCTACACACCCCTTAATTCGATCTAGCTAGTTCGAACTAGGCTTAATCCTTGTGGAATTAAATTCGAACTAGCGGAGCGCTAGTGTAGCGCCTATGAAAGTTAGTTCGAACTAACGTCTGTTAGTTCGAACTAACTTTGTAGTGTAGACATACCCTCACAGAGTGCTGACCCTCCAGACTTTCTCCTAGGAGGCCTTGCTCCTACCCAAACTGCTGACCTGCTGGGCTTCTTTCCAGGATTCCCTTCCCCCATCTGATTCTCTCCAGTCTGATTAAATCCTGTACTTAATTTAATCCCAAACTACTTCCAGTACAGCTGCTTCAGGGCTGGCCCTTTCCCAGCCTGCCACAGGAGACTTCTTCTCCCCTGCCACCTCTTCCCATCAGGGCCTATCACAGGAGACAATCTGCCTCCTATAGCTCTCATCCACAAATAAGCTCTCACCCATCTGGGTCTGATAAGTGAACCAAGCCACTTGATCTCAGCTGATCATAATCCACTGGGCTGGGAGGATAGCTGATCTGCCACAGGTAAGGCTAAGTCCAAATCTTGAAGGACCAGCAAGCTTATGACAGGGCCCAAGCCAACAAATCCTTACTCACAAGAGTAATCCTCTTGATTTCAGTGGGGCTGGTATAATGTAAGGACAATGCAAGTACTAAAGGTCTGCAAGGTCAGCCTCAATGTTCAAACCTGCTTTTTCTCCTGTTAGACCTGAAGAATTGATACAGTGATGGAAGAGGGGGAAGGCTTCTAGTCTTCCTCACGCATCATCACAGAATTGTTAAAAGTTCCACAAACAGAATCTTTATTGTTGGTGTTGACTGGCAAGCAAGCAAGAGCCCAACTTGATGTTTAGTACCCTGGCTCAGTTTGCATCACTGACAGCTGTGAATAGAAGAATACAGCTTTTCACCTGCGAACTAAACAAATCTTCAGTTCAGGTCAGGGAGAGACCATAAACATGGAACTCCCCAATGCCACACTGACAGCCACTTCTCAGGTTAAAATTGCACTTTTGGCAAAACTGTACCTTTCATTCCTTTATTCACTGTGATACAGGTTCCTTGCCATGTGACATTTTAGACAGAGGATGCTGGATGTAGTTTTTCTTTACTAATCACAGCTCTTCAGAAAACTTCTCCGTGTCACAGTAGTACATTCATTGTACAGAAGACTGCCAATCTAATTTAATCAAATGCATCCCAAGACTGCTCTCCCTGCCTTTTTTGTACCATCACAGAACTCTTGGTCTTGATCTCAGGACACTTGTTCCTGAAATACATGAATAAAGCTTCTGTCTTCATTGCTATTGCTGCTGCTCCCACTTATGCACTACATGGCCTTTTTCATACTTTCATTCTGTATCTACCACAGAGGACTGGACTTCATCTTTATTTGATCATTTCAAAGCACCTTTGAACCTACATAGGCAACACTATCTTTATCTGATTACATGCTGATGTTCACCGGCTAGTGACCTTTGGCAATAACTATTTTCTATTTTTTAAGCTTATTCTTGGCAAGACAGCCCAGTTCTGCTGTAGACAAGGGTCGCTCTAGTCTAAACCAAGGTTAGAAGACATTTTTTTCCACTGCTACCCAAGGATACGCCCCTCAAAACACTCCCCCCATGCTGATTGATTGCCTCTATAATTTTATGTCACATTCAGTCTTCTTACCCTCACTTTCGAGGCCTTGCACAGTCAAGCCCTTGTGTATAATTCTGCTCTCATTACGCTTTCTGCTGTCTACTCTCCTTACAAGTTATGTATTTTTCTTGCTTTTTTGTCCCTATGCCTGGAATGCCTTCGTTCTTTTTCTGCATTATACCATCACTTTTTTTTCATTCTGGTTTATCTTTATTTTCCATGCAGTTTGACAGTAGCTAAGTAGATGGGAATTTTTCCATTTACTTTAACAAAAGTTTGAATGGACCCCTAAATAAGGGTATGTCTACACTGCCACCCTAGTTCAAACTAGGGTGGCTAATGTAGGCATTCGAACTTGCAAATGAAGCCCGGGATTTAAATATCCCGGGCTTCATTTGCTTGTTCCCGGGCGCCACCATTTTTAAATGCCCCAAAGTTCAAACTACCTGCCCGCGGCTACATGCTGCAAGGAGGTTTAATGGTAGTTCGAATTAGGAGCTTTAATTTGAACTACCTAGTCCGTGCCGCGTATAGCCGTGGGCAGGTAGTTCGAACTACGGGGCATTTTAAAATGGCGGCGCCCGGGAACATGCAAATGAAGCCTGGGATATTTAAATCCCGGGCTTCATTTGCAAGTTCGAATGCCTACATTAGCCACCCTAGTTTGAACTAGGGTGGCAGTGTAGACATACCCTAAAAAAGGATGGTCTTGAGGTTAAGACATGAGATTAGGATAGCTGGGTTCTAGTCTCCCCTTGTAAAGGGGTCTATCGGGGTGCCCCCTGGCACCCTGTACTCTCCGCCTGAGTCTCGTGCTCCCCTCACTCAGAGGTTCACCGTCTGGCATCCCCAGTCAACTATCTTCTTGGCCCAGGGGGCCCCTTTAACATCAGGGGTCTCCGGGCTTCCCGTAGCAGGGAGAGGGGGATCCGGGCCCGCCCCCTCTCACGGACCCCAGCCCAGGGCCCTAAGGGGGTGCCCCCTGGCACCCTGTACTCTCCGCCTGAGTCTCGTGCTCCCCTCACTCAGAGGTTCACCGTCTGGCATCCCCAGTCAACTATCTTCTTGGCCCAGGGGGCCCCTTTAACATCAGGGGTCTCCGGGCTTCCCGTAGCAGGGAGAGGGGGATCCGGGCCCGCCCCCTCTCACGGACCCCAGCCCAGGGCCCTAAGAACTCGGAACGCTTACGGCGTCCGGTCCAGCTGGTGGGGCATCTGCCGTAACACACCAGCCCTCAGGCTCCCTTCACCTGCCCTG